GCGACTCGGGTTTCGATCAAGTCGCTTCTTTACTTTTCGAACCATTTCTGCTGATGTTGCTGTTTTCTTCCGCCCACTTCCTTGACGTCGGGCTACGCTACCAGTATCACGGTAACGAGCGATGGTACGAGACACATATGATTTATTCACATTTAAATGCTGGAGTGCTGTTTCCAGCCAAATATAAAGAAATCACACTATAACGCTTGAAATCCATAACGAATAACATTTTATTTGTGGACAATTCTCACCAAAATTGTTGCGATTTTTTCATCTCACCCTGTATATACTGTTCACCAAAGATTTTCTGTGAAGCGATATACTTCATGCCATCACATCTATCTTGCTCTTCCTGAATGGTTTGTGTTACAATTTGTTATATTTTACGTACTTACTTTTTTGTGATGTGATATAATTTCTTAGGAACCCAGACAGATTCGTGGATAATGTTTTACAAATAACAAAGAAACAATTTTGTCTTTTTTCAGAAATGCAATTTCGTTTTACAATGCATTTGCAAAATTGCTAAAAATACTTAAACGTCTGCTCTTAGAGTTCAAGGTAGTATTTCAATTCAAATGAACATCTTTGATAGTTTCTTGTCTGTGTTTTCTTGGACACTTGTCAAAAAAAAGAAGAATAAAAAACGTGTATCGACAAGTAAATCACTTGGGCGCCATATTCCACTAACAACATTCGTATTGAAAGTACGTATTGAAGAATTCGAAAAAAATTATATGACGCATTATTTGGTTATTGAAAACATGTTTCTGGTTATTGAAATCTTCGAAATTATTACTCTGAACTTGGCACATATTTTGTGGGTCAAGAAACTCAATTGTGTTTAGGGGTTAATAACACTGTGCATCAGAATAGATAACAAAATAGTAGATACGGATATGGGTTCGTATGTTTTTACACTGCATTAACATGTAACCAAACTTGGAGTGTAAAATATTACCATTTTCAATAAAATAATAATAATAATAATCATGATTTGTTTTTATTAAAGGGAATATATTTAGAAGTATTTTTATATAGCGGGTTATTTTTTATTCAAATTCACGACATTAAAAAAAAACTTAAATCGTCTCAAAAAAACTTATATTTTTAAGGGTCAGTTACCCCTAATAAATAGTTATCATTTGGTGTCTATGAGTCGACAAATAAGTAGACAAAAGGTGTCCATGCTCTTTGTAAAGGTGAGAATACATAAAACGCTTTTTTGACTGACTTCAAGTCATCGGCTAGCTTCTTCGGAGAAGAACAAATGAGCCTAGGGCAAAATCGAACTAAATCAACCTATAACTCCTTTGTTATTTTCCGAAGAAGCCAGCCAATGACTTAAGCCAGTCAAATAAGCGTTGTATGTATTTTCACCTTAAACAACGTACAGGTCGCATTTGAATGATTTTTTCTACTACTGAAATTTCTGAGAACCAGGGTAAGTTGAAAAAACTGCAACCAATGGGTAATGGGTACTACAGCCTATGACAGAACATTGTCTATGCAGGTCCAGGTCTTCGTATAGCCCGCATACATTAGTACCTCCCTATATTCGGGATTTTGACGATTTTAGGTACAATGTTCACAGGAATTGTTTCAAATTTCGTATTTGGAGTTCCTAATTGGTACTACCGTCTGTGACAGAAAATGAAACTGTCTAGGCAGGTACTATTCTTAATATAGCTCCCATATATCGGTACCTCCCAATATTCGGTATTTTGATGCTTTTAGCTATATTATTCGGCGGATTTTTTCCAATTTCGTATTTGAATATTGTAATGGCTTATAACAAAAACTACCTATGCAGGTCAACGTCTTCGTATAGATCCCAACAAACATTTTCAACGGATTTTTTTTTTGAAAATTTTTACTTGTTCCATTTCATTTATTTTTTGTCGAATTTAAAAAATGCATTCGATTACCACGTAACTCGGTGGAATATATCGATGGTGTTAAATTTTAGTATCGACCGCTCATTTTCTATTATTCCCATAACCAATTTAATTTTTCTCATAATTTGTTCTAAAAATAGATTGCAATAGTTTTCGGAAGCAATGCATTCTTTAGCTAATATTCCAATACATTCTGACGATCAATTAAAATGTTATTCCACCCATTTTAAACGATCAAAAAATCGTACGATTGAATTATTAACCACGGGATGGCAATGAAATTAATTTGAATGAATTTGTCGACAATCTAATGCCGAATTCCAGCAAACCACTTCAAATAAACATGTGTATGTATGAATGTTTTTCCTTTCTTGTTTTGCCTTTACAAATAATGCCAGTGCGATGTGATGATCTGCAGAAAAATTTCACTTGAACTTCAACGTCGAGTGTAATGAACTTTTCAAGTGGTTTTTCTTTTCATTACACAAGGCGATCCGGCCGGTTCCTCAACAAAAAGAGTATTTTTGTAGTAATTACATATTTTGGAAAATATTCAACAGACGTACTACATAAAGTGTTTGGAAATTGTGTGTAGTTTTTCCAAAAATAAAGAAGACTAGAATAAATGATATGAGGGTGAAGGTTGGTCCGTGGTGGCCATGGCAGCCAATGAAACCAATAACATAATTTATTAAATTCCGCATTGTTGGACATTAATTACATAATTAATCATACAAGCAAATTGTAATTACACACTTATATAGGTAGTTGCCAAGTTTGTCCGTCGGAGATTTGCCCCCTTCCACATGTAGATCACCTTGAATTGGCTTTACGGTAGTTTTGCAAAACCACAATTTGTTTGTTTGTGATTGGCATCAACAACTTGACTTTATGTTGGTAGTATTAAACAGCTGTTTTGAGTTCGAACTTAGTATTCGCTTTTTTCAGTTATTTCGTCAGAGGGGGTTTGTGCGGGCCGACTGTCTACAGTTTTGATCTTTCAAAAAAAAAACAATACGTATAATTGTCGTGCCGACCGACAATGCTAAAATAATGAACAACCAATTTCATTGTATTGCGAATTCCATTGAATTTGTTAGTAGTTGTTAACAAGCGATAACACTGGTGGATGAGCCAGGAAATATCCGAGGTTCTACTCATCAAGACCAAAGGAAAAGAGAGCGGAAAAGTGCAATCTCTCTGGTTTTGCGGCTTCTCATTAAGAGATAAATTCTCAGTTCATGATGGTGTTTAATTCGAAACAATGTTGTCCATTTGGAGCTTAAAACCGTCAAATTTTAAAACAGTTTATTTCAATATTTTACACCAAAGTCGACTTACAACGTTTTCAATATTAATTGCGATTGCTGCCTAGTTCTGCCAAAAGCGGGCAAGTTCGATTGTTTGATTTTTTGGTGCTGCGATTTTTACCACAATTTGACCTTGACGTTTAAAAGTCGACTTACGTATTCCTATCTGGCAAAATTTTTGAATGAAAGGCTAAATTAAAGTTGACTCTCGAAAATGTCGTTAATGGCCGAATTATTGTCGGTAACTCAAAAAATGAGTTAGAGGATCGCGCTACCGAACATCTACGAAACCCAAGGAGGGGGCCATAAACTAAGAGCAATAACACTTTTCCAAAACGGAGGAAATGGGTTAAGTGAATTCAAAACAGCGTTTTTCATATTTTAACTTAACTTTGTGTTTTAGTTGCGCCCAACGTGGGGACATATTTTTTTTTTTTTTTTTTGTTTGGAAAAAAAGATTTTACCAGATTGTTTAATTTCTAGCAAGAAGTAATTTGTCTGACATGAATTTTCAAATTCTGAGTCAAAAAATTGTCAAAATTTCACTCTTGAATTCTCTTTTCGCTTTCGAATCGTTCTTTTGTCACAACTTTTGTGGGGCCTTCCAGCAATAATCTGCAACAATTTTTTTGGGTACTAGGTAGACCTAAATTTGGATGAGCAGAATCTAGTTGTTTGGCCCAAGGGCAAACCCTATGGAAATTTGTGAGAAGCGGTTCAAATTTAGATATAGCTCCCATATATATCTTCAACCGATTTCGATTTGTGCACTAAATGGCCAATATCAGTCCAAATGACCTGAATTTTGGCATATCCGACCGAATTTAGTCTAGAAGCAATCAAATCAAATTATATATAAGTTTCATCCGACTGGGGGTTTTAGGTTCCTCCCATGCGTAATATGCACTCCACAACAATAATCTTTAGTACTAGATATCAGATACAGCTCAGAAATACCTTTGTCCAATTTTATCGAATTGGGATCAGATTTGGATATAGCTCCCATATATATCTATATCTGATATCAGGTTTATTGAGCACTAAATCTCAGTTCAAATGAACTCAATTTTAGCAATTACGACTGAATTCATCCTAGAAATCAGTACTTCAAATTTGGTGTAAATCGGTTCAGATATAGCAATAGCTCCAATATATAAGTTCCTCGGATCCGATATATATATTTTTTAATATAATCCTCCTCAATGTGATATCATGCTCTCTATAGCAATGTTATTTGGTATAAAACATAAAAATGTCTCCGTCAAATTTAGTGAAAATCGATTCAGAATTGGATATGCCTCCCATATATTAGTTCTCTCTGAAACCAAATTATAATGCTCCAAACCAAATGTTAATAAGTGGTATGATCTACTTTCGAATAAATTCTTTTATTACGGCCCCACTCGACATTTGACTTTTCCATACTGGGTTTTTTATTTAGAAGTTTTTCTAAGTTTTTACTATTTTTCGTTCCCTTCTATTTGGGTAAATTTTTACGTGAGAGTAATTAAGGACAATTCACTCTCTGCAAGTTATACTATTAAAAAGTTCGGAAACATGTAGGATGATCTTATATAGCATCTCCAAAAAAGTACTACATTTACACCAAATAATATTCAAACACAGAATGTGAAATAAACCAGATATTGAAAAAAAAAAAAAATGTCACCAAATTGTCAACATTGTTTCCCTACTCACTCAAACTCAATTCAGTGTGAGACGATGATCTGCTGGGTTCTCCACCAATGTGCTATGCTATTAGCTTCTCATTTTCAACATTAGTATTTAGCTTTGGTTTATGGACTCAGTTCGTATAATATCAAATGTATCTGAATGAAAACGCTTCAGTTCAGTACGTGCTCTCTTGACGTCCAAACGTGTGAGTGTGTGTCCGGTTGTGGATCGATCGATTGGTTGTATTCAACTTCTGAAGTTCTGAGGTAAAACGGCAGACAAAATGCACGAAGCGAAGAAAGTGATACGATTATGGCTATTGCAAAATTTTAGAAAATTAAAATGAGTTAAAGAAAGAAAAAAAAATTAAAAAATAAATATGCAAATATTAGCAACATTTTATAACACGTGGAAAGATTTTGCCAACTCTGTTGAGCACGTGTTAATAGCGTGCGTGTGTGTGTCTGTGATTTTGCCACAATGGAAAGATTGGCGAACAAGTTGTGAAGCGAGATTTTATGACTGGAATTTCCGCATTTCTATTTTATATATATTAAGCAGGGCAATAATAGCTCTATATACCCACACATATACTTCATTGGGTATCTAATGATGTTGGAGTAAAGTGAAAATTTGAATTTCATTGAAAATGTTTATTATTTTGTAAATTATATACACTCTCTTTGAATTGATGTCAACCGTGGTGTTTTGTATACGAGTTTGGTATTTTTGTGCTATTTTTATTTTCTGAAAGTGGGTCAAGCTTTACACATACTCAACTTTGCGAAACATTTTTTTTTCAATCGACAGAGAACTTCTTCTGCCAAAAAAATAATAATCGTTGCTATGTCATCTATGGGAAATCCCATGAGAGTGCGAATTTTCTTCCGCCACGCTTGGTTATTTTTTGATGACAAGATTTTCTTGCAGATTTGTGAAATTCTTTCACATTTTCATATCGGATCATGTGTTCATATGTATCTTGAATTTGTTGTCAGTTTATCTATTAAATATTCATCGATCATGTCATTAGCTCCCCATTTTATCTTGTGAATCAACGGCTAACTGACTGACTCATCTCACATTGGGCTATACCGGCGGCAGTTGTTTTTTTTTTTTTTTTTGCTGTTGGCCTTTTGAACAGAAATTCCGATGTCTTCTGTCGTGTGCAATCAAAGAAGCGAACGAACGAAAAATAAAATTGAATACCAAAAATAAACTTGTTGTGATATAAGAAGTATGTATGAATAAACTTGCACCTTTGGCTTTTAATGAATGAAAACAACAACAACATTCAAAATTATTTTACATATCTAAGGAAAAAAAGAGTTCAATAACCGATAATTAAGTTAGTCAACAAAATTAAAAAAAAAGTAAAAAAGCAGTAAGTTCGGCCGGGTTGAACTTTAAATACCCTCCACCATTTGGAATGAATTTGGAAATTTTTCAAAAAAAAAATAAAATCCATTAAAAATTCTGTTAAAATTTAAAAAATACCGAATGTAGCCATTATATTAGGGTCTATACGATGATGTGGACCTGCATAGGCAACGAAACTTGAAAAAAGACGGTTAATAATGTAGCTAAAATCATCAAAATACCGAATATTGGGAAGTACCGTTATATGGGGGATATACGATAGTGTGGACCTATACAGGGAGAGATAAAAAAAAAACTGCAACAAATTCAAACGCCATAATTTTTATATTTTTTTGAATTTTATTGAATGAAAGCAAAAAATGTCGGAAATATTATCAAATTTTAGAAAAAGTTTAGATTTGTTCGAATTGGTCACCTTTGACACGAATTATGGTCTTCAAAGGCCAAAGGTATGTAGAAAAAATGTTGGCGTGTCCAAGGCTTTTATACAACCTCCAGAATATTTTCGCGATAATATTCGGCATTTATTCTGATGCCACGGCTGTTATGGCGGCCCACACAATCGCCAGCGCTTGAGTTCTGGTGGCCAACCGAAGGTGCACATTTTCAGATGACCTCTTTGGCAAGTAAACACGATCATTTTGTTTGTTTACAAACTGCTGGACAACGAATGTTTTCTCATCGGAGAACACCAAATTCGGTAGTTCACCACTTTAGGCCATGCGAAGTAACTCTTAAGTTCTTTTGAACGATAACGAGCGATGGTACGAGACACAAGATATTTATTCACATTTTAATGCTGTAGTGCTCTAACGATAGCTACTTATGGTTTTCCTGCCAAATATAAAGTAATCACACTATCACGCAGGAATTCAAATTCCCAAAGGAATAACTTTTTTTCTGGAAAATTCTCACCAAAATGCTTTTGTACGCTTGTAATGAGCTGTCACTGGAATAATTTTAACAGCTGTCGGACGAGTGGCTTAAAAATTGAAACAGTCTGAAGTTGGTTGCAGTTTTTTCACCTTACCCTGTAAATGTGAACATGATTTGACAACGCTAGTCTGATCTGAATTCTAAAAACCCTCTTAGATTTCTGTTCTACTGATATAACATTTTGAAATTTCACACCCGACCAAATACTTATTGCATTTTGATAATTTCACATTTAAATGCCTCTCTTAATTGCCCATTTTTACACACACATTTCAAATTGCAATTTTGGCATTCGCACGTGTTAAATTGAATTGTTTAAATTCCAATTTGGACAAATAACAGAAACTAAACTACTTGCAGATGGAATGTTGTAAATAAATAAAAACGAATACCAACAACACCACAATCTAGATACATTCACCTTTGTACGCTCAATTAGTATTTGTATATTTTCTTGTTTCATTTGAAAAAAAAAAAACGAAGTCAATAAACAATTTAAATAATAATTTACTAAAAATAGATAATTAGTTCGGCAAGAAAATATGCATTTCCTTTATAGCCTTTATATTGGCGAGAAAGTTAAAATGTAAACAAATATGTGGATATTATTTATATGACGTTAAAAACATAATAAACGTCAAACAATAATATATAAATTCACTTTCGGGAAAAATAATAACAAAAACAATAAAAAGTATATTCTAGATCGGTCGTGGTTGGATTATAAATTTCGTTGTTGTTATGCGGCAAGATTTTCATATGTCAGTGTAGTTTTCAAAACGAAGTAGTTGAAAGGAAATACTCCCCAAAAGGAATGATCGGAATTATATCCAGCTCATTTGTTCAGATATTTCCTTTACTTCATATAGTTCACGCATTTGGCAGACTAGAGAAAGATAAATATTTCTGCATCTACGATATAAATTTAAATGAAAAAGGGGAAGCCACCTTTGTGCTTAAATGAACGAAAAGGCTATAAAGGACTAAGCATGATCCAAGTATAAGATCTCCCTTCGAGCTCAGTGGATTACCAAACGATCTGTCAATTAAATTTGATATCTCCGCATCCAAAATAAATGTCAAAACATGAGTTTTACTGTTATGCGAAAATACATACTTGTTTGGTAATTTTAAATTTTGTTGCAAAGAGATACATACATACAGTAAGGAAAAGTCAAAAGTCGGACAGGACGACTATATGATACCCTACACCACTATGCATATATTAGTAGAGCTTCCTTCAACACAAGAATTTATTTCAAGAAGATCATACCACCTATCAACATTTGACTTTAGAGCAGTTAGAGTTTGCTATAGAGTGCATCACTTGGAGAAGGTTTATATTAAAAAAATATATATTAGAGCCGAAAAATTCACTCCATTTGGGCTGATATTAGCCATTATTTCCACAAATCGGATTAAGGATATGTATGGGAGCTATATCCAAATCTTAGCCGAGCTCGATAAAATTTGGCAAAGGTATTTCCGAGTTTTATAATAATATCTGGTAACAAATATCATTGTTGTCGAATGCATATTACGAATGTGAGGCGCTTAAACACCAAATCGGATTAAACATATATATGGGAGATATGGCCATATCTGAACCGAATTTCTCCAAATTTGATGTACTTGCTTCTAGACTGAATTCGGTCGGATGTATCGAAATTCAGTTAATTTGGGCTGATATTAGTCATTTGGTGCACAATAAACCTGATACCGGATAAAGATATATGTACAGAGTGAGATAAAAAAAAAAAAACTGCAACAAAGTCAAGCGCCATAATTTTTACATTGTTTTTAAATTTTATTGAATGAAAGCAAAAAATGTCGGAAATAGCATCAAATTTTAGAAAAAGTTTTGATATGTTCGAATTGGTCACCTTTGGCACGAATTATGGCCTTCAAACGGCCAATAAAACCGTCACACGCTGCCCGAATGTTGATCTGCGGTATTTTGGCCCATTCCCGGCGAAGCGCTTGCTTGAGGTAATCGACACTTTGGTATTTTTTGTGCCAACTTGCTTTCCAAAATACTCCAGACACAATAGTCCAACGGATTAGTGTCTGCAGATTTTGGTGGCCATTGTGCGCTGGAAATGAAGCGAGGAACCTCATTTTGTAACCATTCATGGGTAGAGCGTGCTGAATGTGATCGTGTTGAGTCCTGTTGGAATGTCCAAGGTCTGCGGCCAAAATGTTTGCGTGCCCAAGGCTTTAATACACCCTCCAGAATATTTCGTGATAATATTCTGCATTTATTCTGATGCCACGATCGATTAATACGAGCGGAGAGCGACCATCGGCTGTTGTGGCAGTTTACAAAAGCAAAGCAACTCTTTAGCTCTTTTGAGTCCATTTTCTTTATGCTGCAGTGTAAGTTCTTGCCCTTTTTGGAATTTCAATGGCTTTACCCCGAACTCATTTTTCAATATTTGCCCAATGTAAAATTGCGATATGTTCAGCTCATGAGCCTTTTTTCGGCCACTGCGACGCGGGTTTCAATCAAGTCGCTTCTTTACTTTTCGAACCATTTCTCCTGATGTTGCTGTTTTCTTCCATCAAATTCCTTGACATCGGGCTACGCTACCAGTATCACGGTAACGAGCGACGGTACGAGACACAAAAGATCTATTCCCATTTAAATGCTGGAGTGCTCTAACGATAGCCACTTGTGGTTTTCCAGCCAAAGAAAGAAAGAAATCACACCATTACGTTTGAATTCCATCACGAATAACTTTTTTCTGGAAAATTCTCATCAAATTGCTTTTGTACGCTTTTGTAAACAATATAATGAGCTGTCACTGGAATACTTTTAACATCTGTCGGACGAGTGGTTTGGAAATGACAGCAGCCTGAAGTTGGTTGCATTTTTTTCTTCTCACCCTGTAAATGGGAGCTATATCCAAAAAATAAACCGTCTGATGACTTATGTCAGAGAAAAATTATCTTATAAGCATCCCCTTCAAAAGCAATTGAAAATTTGCTGTTATCGATAATTGTCGTTCATTGGTTAGAGAATTACACTACTGTTCAGTGAACTAGATCACTCACCCCTAGACATTACAGTAGTTTTAATTCCACTGCCACATTTGCTTCCATTTTGATCGGGAAAGATTTAAATTAAAAAAAAGTGAAGAAGAAATGATTTTTTTGAAGTTATATTTCTTAGATTTTAGTGGTGATGTCGAATTTAAAGGCGTGGCAATTAAATTTAGCTTCAAATTTGCCGTATTAATGGACCCTATATCCCCTATGAAACAACGAATACAAACGGCCTCAAAAAATGGTATTTTCCACAGATTTATTTTTTGATTTGAAAATTGCCACCTCATGCTCTATGCAAACCCTCTCTAGTAAATAATGTTTTTTGAACATTTTCAATTTCCATTTTCTAGTTGTTGTTTCTTGCCCCCACCTAAACGCCCACCCACTTCTTGTCTCCATTTCGCTGTAGTACTTAAAATTCACAATATACAATGAAATGATTTAAATAAATATTTTCAACAATTCCATTTTAAATGATACATGATGTGCGTGCGTGTGTGTTGTACTAAAGAAAATATACAAAATGTTTATTAACATAAAACAGCAAAATCAATTAGAATGTAGCTGTTAGCCAGGAATGTTGGCGTTGTTATTGTTGTAGCCCATGAATTTCTAATTGCATTCAATGGAGTAAATCGGATATACGAAAATAGACAGTGATGACATGGTATGTGATACACGTTTTTGCCTAATTTTTTGAGAAAATAAACAATTTAGGAAAATTAATAGTTAATTTAAAGGTAATCCACACACCTGTCATATGGAAATATATTTTCTGGGAAAATATGTGTAATAATTGTTGAAGTAAATTAAAATTCTTTGAATTGTTTAAAGTAAATATCTGAGTAACATTTCTGGTATTTTGTAATATTTATTATATTATTTTACACCTTGGAAAATCGAAGTATGAAATAAAGCGACAATCTAGGATCTAAACGAACAAATAACAAGTAAAAGCATTAAATTCAGCCGGGCCGAACTTTTAATATACTCCACCACTGGGTAAAGACAACATTTTTATATAAAAGTAAACGTGTTCCACTTTCAACTACAAATACCAGTGAGACTGTTTGGATAATGCTGTTAAACTTTTCAAAAAACCATAAAGCGGGCCATACCAAAACGGGAACCTCTATAGACAATTTTATACTTCAAGGATTCTCATGAACCAAATCTTCTTAAATACAAAATATAAAAAAAATTTGTGGGTGACTAGGACTATGAAAATATCGAATATCGAATATCGATCCGTGAAAAAAGTGGCGAGAATCTTCAAGCTCTACGTCAAATAATGTGGGTGTTCGTCCGGGCCGAACTTTGAATACCCTTCACCATTTGAAACGAAAATCTTAAACATACCGTTGTATTGTGGTCTACACATAGACGTGAACCTGCAAAGGCAACTTTTGTCATAAGCCATTACAATTTTCAAATACGAAACTTGAAAAAATCCGGTGAATATTGTAGCTAAAACCATCAATTAGTACCGTTATACCGGGACTATACGAATACCTGCAGCTGCATAGACAATTTTCTGTCACAGGCTGTACCTATTAGGAACTTCAATTACGAAATCGTCAAAATACCGAATATAGGGAGGTACTGATATATGGGGCCTATACGAAAACCTGGACCTGCATAGACAATTTTCTGTCATAGACTGTTGTTCCCATTACGAACTCTATATACGAAATTTGAAACAACTTCTGTGAATAATGTCGCTAAAATCACCAAAATACAGAATATTGGGAGGTATCGTTATATGGGGGCTATACGAAGGCATGCGTACGCATTTTTTGTCACAGGCTATAGTACCCATTACGAGTTCTAAATACGAAATTTGAAACAACTCCGGCGAATAATGTCCCTAAAATCATCAAAATACCGAATATCGGGGGGTACCGTTGTATGTGGGCTATACGATATCGTGAACCTATATAGACATTTCTCTTCCAGGGGGTAAAGTGCTTAGAAAGAACTTCTAGAATAAATAAAGAAAAAAATAAAATTTCAGACAATTTAATTGAAAAATGTGGCTACAAGCATCAAAATACCAAATATAGGTAGGTAAAGTTATATGGCGGATATACGACATCATGGACCTGAACAATACTCTTTCAGAGGGTAAAGTTCTTAGAAGGGACTCCTTTTATGGATTTTCAGACAATTACATTGAAAAAATTGTCTGAAATCATCAAAATACCGAATATCGGGCGGAACTGTTATATGGAGGCTATACGATACGTGGACATTCTTCGAACTTGACCTGCCTGCAGACAAAAGACTGATCTGTGCAAAATTTTAGCTTCCTATCTATATTAGTTTTGACTCTAGCGTGATTACATAAGTCAGACAGATGGACGGCGGACGTTTTACAATTTTACGCTGATCAAGAATGTATGTACTTTGTTGGGTCTAAAATTATTATTTCGATGAGTTACAAACGGAATGACGAACTTAATATATCCTCCATACTTTGCATGGTGGAGGGTTTAAAAATAGTGACAAACAATAGGCCTGTCTGGTTACTCCACAATTTATAATTTACTGGAAGTCTGTTGATAAAAAAATTTCTGCAAAATAGTTTCATACGAGTGAGATATATTGGCAGTTCTTTTTTTGAGAGTTTGTCTATTGTTAAATTGTGATGACAAACTTAATATTCTCTCTTACATGTCGGAGAGCATAAAAAATGTAAAAGCAAGTGACGTTTAAAAATTGCATATAATGTCTCTCAAAATTTACCCTCTCCTATTCCTCTTAGAAAACATCAACATAGTATTTTTCGATTGTTTATAAACAATTTATTTAATTAAAAACAAAATACTATTTCCTTGGCACTTTTATATACTTCAAATTGAAAATGTTGTTTGTTGTCTACGGCTTAAAAACAAATTGTATTATGTTTCGGAATTCCATTAAATGTTTACAGCAAATTTTCAATGTTTCATGTTTTTTGTTTAATAATACATTTAAAGAAGAATAATTCAAATAAAAAAAAAAAAAAAATGAAATCTGCCATACCAATGATCAAAAGAAACAGGCATCAATGAATGATGAGTATATGAGGGCCTGATTTTTTTGTTTTCGGTGTTCTTTCTTTTTTTTCAACTCAAATTGATTTAATTTATCAACACGTTTATCTGCTGTCTGGTTCATCTTGAAGTTCTTTAAGCAGTTGTAGCTTTTGGTTTGGCTGGCCCATCATTCGTCCGTTCGTTACTCAATAATGATTGTTTGCAAGAACAACAGAAGTCGTCCATCATTCATTTTTCATTCATGTGCCATAATAAATTTATGTTGTTCTTTTTTTTTCGGACCTATAAATAAATATTTAAAATTAATATTCATTTACATGTATTTCTCATCAGTGTGTTGTTTTTTTCAATTTGGGAAAATAAGAAAATATGTTTCTGATTATTTTTATTAGCATTCCATTGAAGGCCAAGTCATTTGGGTTTGTGTGGGCCCAGGAACATGTTGTTCGAAAAATAACAAGGTGAAGTGTTACAATTTAGGAAAATTGTATCACAATTTTTGGAAAAAAGCAACATTAAGTTTTTTCCTAAAAACTTGTGCTCTTTTAAATGAATCTCAATTTATAAATTTCATGTTTACTTTTTTCTAATAAAATGTCAGTGTTTATGAAAGATCCTTTTGCTTCTCAAACATAAATATTAAAATGGTTTTAATTACTGTTTATATCCAATAAATTGTTTTTGGTCTCTCACTAAACAAAGCAACATAAACATATTTATAAAGAGCTCGTGCGCATGCGCAAGCCACATGATGACTGTGTTTATATCAAAATTCAAATCACACAATTTGTATGCAAAAATACATTATCTATGTTTATTTTGAGAAATAAAAAATAAACCGTTCTACTCCTAAACGAATCAAAATACAGACCATTCCCTTGGCGTGTGCAAGAAATTTGAGCTGGGATACAACTGAGCTTTTTTGTGCCATCATCTCTGTGTTTGGAGGAACCTACGAGGCAACAAATTGGTTTGTTGTTGTTTTTTAAATAAAATTGACAAAGATTTATTGCAATGACGGCATTTAGTTCAATTTGGATCATTTTTTTTGACAAGTCTTAAGTCTTAAGTGATGTTTGTGGTCCATAGCATTTTCTATTTTAATTAAATTAAATTCATCAATGACCCGTCTTTTTAATTTTTGTTTTTTTTCTTTTCAGTATTTCAATGGGGTGACTTGTGAAATTTAGTTTTACTCCTGAACCCGGGACAAAAAAGGTAATTTGTCATAATTTTAATTTACTTAACAATGAGATTCATTTTTGTTTGAATTTGAGAAAAAATTGAAAACTTAAATGTGTGCTGCTCTAAAAATTTTAAAGAGAAAATGATAAAAAAATTGACTACTTATTGGGTTTAAATGTCAAAGTTGGTTTCTCCCAATTTACTTTCGATTATTCGATCATAAATTTTAGTTTTAGCTTTAAAGTATGCAATGTTTAATGTGTGCTAAGCTTTGAAACTCTAAACAGGTAAAATTTTATCTATTAAAAAGTATCAGTCGGTTTGGCCGACAGGTGTAAGGGTGAGATAAAAAAAAATTTCGTAAATAACATCAACAATTAGAATAAGTTTAGATTTTTTCGAATTAGTCACCTTTGGCACGAATTATGGGCTTCAAACGGTCAATAAAACCGTCACACGCTGCCCGAAGCGCTTGCTTGAGGTGATCGACACTTGCTTTCCAAAATACTCCAGATACTCCGGAGATTTTGGTGGCCATTGTGCGCTGGAAATGAAGCGAGGAACCTCATTTTGTAACCATTCTTGGGTGGCGCGTGCTGAGTCCTATTGGAATGTCCAAGGTCTGCGGCCAAAATGTTTGCGTGCCCAAGCCTTTAATACAACCTTCAGAATGTTTTCGCTATAATATTCGGCATTTATTCTGATGCCACGGTCGATTAATACGAGTGGAGAGCGGCCCACACCATCACCATGGCCGGCGTTTGAGTTCTGAGTTCTTTTCAATATTTGCCGAATGGAATATTGCGATATGTTCAGGTCACGAGCCATTTTTCGGCCACTGCAACGCGGGTTTCGATCAAGTCGCTTCTTAATTTTTCGAACCTTGTCGCTGATGTTGCTGTTTTCTTCCGTCCACGTCCTTGACTTCGGGCTACGCTACCAGTATCACGGTAACGAGCGATGATACGAGACACAAAAGATTTATTCACATTTAAATGCTGAAGTGCTGTAACGATAGCCACTTGTGGTTTTCCAGCCAAATATAAAGAATAACTTTTTTTCTAGAAAATGCTCACCAAAATGCTATTGTATCCTTATACCAATATAATGGTTTGTCACAGGAATAATTTTAACAGCTGTCGGGCGAGTGGCTTGGATATGACAGCAATCTGAAGTTGGTTGCAGTTTTTTCATCTCACCCTATATATTCATGATCAGCATACAATTCTAAGTCGATGTCCGTGTGTTTGTTTGTCTCTCTGTTGAAATCACAATTTGTTATGGGTTCTAGCTCCTGTGGCGGAACATAGTATATATATGTCCACGTTTTCGTACAGCCCACATATAACAGTACCTCCCGATATTTGATACTTTGATGGTTTTAATCACATTTTTCCATGGATTTTTCTAAAAATTTGTAGTTCGTTATGGGTTATAGTTCGTTACTATATAGTTCCAAGTTTTCGTATAGCTCCCCATAGAGTATCTCCCGATATTCGGTATTTTCATGATTTAAGCCACATTCGTAATGGGCTCTACCTCCGGTGGCAGAACATTGAATATCTAGGTCCATGTTTCCCTACAGCGTGCATGTAACGGTACCTTCGGATATTCGGAATATTGACTAATAGATTTTTGTGAATTTTGGTATTTGTACTTCATAATGGACTCTACAACCGGTGTCAAAACCTTGCTCATATTGGTCAACGGTTTCCACACAATGGTTCGGTATTTGATATATAGACCTATATTCGGTATTTTAGTAATATTGGTCACATTTACCCACGAAATTATGTCAAATTTGGTATTTAAAACTCGCAATAGATTAAAATTTTTGTAGTATAAAATTGTCTCCCGTTTTAGTATGGCCCCCATATAATGGCTTCCGTCACTATATAGCATTTTCAAAACTCTAACTGGAGTTTGTAGTTTATAGTGGAACACGTTTGAATACAGATACCATTGTATAAAATTGTTTCTTTGCCTAAGAACCCGGAAGAACTTAATGTCTTTTTATTTGTTTGAGAATCAAACTGTTATTTCCAAATGAAATTGTAAATGATTGTCTGTAATCCAGTGTAATTGGCTCACAACATCCCCGACAATACACGACACCTTGAACTTGTACATTTCGAACAATCGAATTCCGCACATCAAATCCGAGCAGAAAAAAAATCATTTCAAATTCATTTTCGTCTCATGAAATCCGTCTATTCAAATTCCTTCAGAATCACATCTCGTGTTCGAACGATAATAATAATGATATTCAGATTTGTGGCTGGCTAGGTATTTTGAAAATAATGAAAACGCAATAAATTGTGTATTTCATGTTCTTATTTGATTTTAATGATCGTTAATTCATCTATCGGATATTGATTTGTTTATTAATATCATAAGTAATTGTTGTAATCTCTTTTCAAATCGATTTTCAATGTTGTTTTTGCATTCCGTATTCTTTAAACAATAACAAAAGAAAGGCAGGCGAAAAAAAAAAACGTGGAATAACACAAGCGTTTACTTTTGCCTGCAGCCGGAATGGCGAAAACGAAACAATAACGTCTTAATATGAAATTGTTTACATGATCTCCTGTTGATCTCTTGTCTGGAAAGAAAGCGTTTTTTTCTCGATATCCAGGGACTTTTGATTTTGGGGAGGTGAAACGCGGGTTGCTGGCGGATTGTGTCTCTGGCTGAATGAATGGGTGCCTTTGAAGTATGAAAAATAATTACAAATTTTGTGATTGCTGCATTTGGGAAATTGTATTTATGTACGTACACACATGTGATGCAATACAAATCGCACACACACAGAGACAAACATTTTTCACACATGCAGATTTTATGATGCCCATAAATTTGAATTGTATTCCCCATTCAAGCTTCCATTTTGGTAGATATATTGACATTAATTGCTGTTTCGGTTATTCGCATGTATGATATGTCTGATAAACAGGAAAACATTTATTCATATTCATATATATTTTCTCATCAACTATGAAAACTATTGAGAAAATTCCAATAAATTCCCTTAAAAAAGTGAATTGTTTTAAAGAAAATCTCCTTATTATTATTTTTTGTTTCTTTTGGCTTGTTGTGGGTTAGACCTCTTACTGTTTTACTTATCTCAAAAAAAAAAAAAAAAAGAGAAAACAAAAGAAAAGCCCCAACAACAACTGCTTCTCTAAAAGTCATTAAATTGGAACAATAAAATAAATCGATTTTAATTATAAACAAATCGACGCATGAGAATTCAATTGGACCAACTTGGCATCTAGAACTGTTGTTGTTGTTATATTTGTATAAAAAACAACAAGTGAAAATAAATCAAAACAAACAAAGAAGAAACGGAAAAGTTTTAACGATTTTCCAAATGAATGTACGTTGCAAGGTTGTGATTTTTTTTTTCCTATATTCAAAGTATTATCTACTGCTTTGTTTAGGGTATCTCGAGATGATGGGTTTTAAGGTTTCAGCCCCAATATAGTAATTTTATAAAAAAGTAAGATATACAAAACCAATTGTTGCATGCTTAAAAATATATTTGCACTATAAGCCTCCGGTACAGATTTGCATTTTCCTTGTTTCTTCGAAGTTGAGCAACCTTTCTTATTGAGCCATGGTCTGATCAATCACCAAATTGTCTGGAATCCACAATTTCAACATTTTATTGGTATATGTGACATGAATGGCAATTATTTGCTCACAGGACGATATCTGTAATACCGATCATTACCTAGTACTCGTACTCAAAAACCTAGTAAAATGTAGTTACGGGTAAAAAAAGAGAGTGCACACATACATGGCGTTCTAGGAGAATTTGAGTAAAAATAAGTTAAAAATTATCTTTCGGTTTTACCAACAGATGTATACCCTCAGCCAGTAACCCTTTGTGGGAGAGGTGCCAGAAGACGTGGTCCGATATATCCCATCTTCACAGCAGATTCGGATTTTATGATCGTTTTGGTAACGCAAAACTTTGACCCTTTGTAAGGGAGGTACCAGAAGGAATGGTTCGATCTCCGCCATCCTTATAACAGATCTTGTATTTCCATATTTAGATGTGTCATGTTTTATGATCTTCTTGAATATTTAAAATGTTGTTGACCCTTTGTGGGGAAGGTACCAGAAGGAGTGGACCGATATATTCCATCTTCACAACTTTTGTTAATAATGGGATGTGTGAAATATGAAGGGAACCGGATGTATATTTCTGAGCTTATGATCTTTTTGGTTATTCAAAACTTTGACGCTTTGTGGGGGAGATACCAGAAGGAGTGATCCGATCTCTACCATTTTTAAAACAGATCTGATGTTGACGGAAATATTGAGATGTTTCAAATATGAATGGAATCGGATGTTAATTTAGCGTTTCTTGAGTTTCATAGATATTCAAAGTTTTGACCCTTTGTGGGGGAGGTACCGGAAGGAGTGGAACGATATATCCCACGTTCACACCAGACCTTGGGTTAATAAAAATATTGTGATGTGTTTAATTCGAAGACACTCGGACACTTACATCACATTTTATAAAAGTAATAATTATTCAACATTTTGACCATTTGTGGGTGAGGTACTTGATGGACTGGACAGACAGGGTTCATTTTCGCACCTGACTTGGCACTGTTGCAAATATTAGGATTTGCAAAGTTGGAGCAAAATCGGATTATCCTTTCTCTTTCTGTGCAGTAAATTATTTTCTTTGAAAATGTTGATATTTTGTGGGGGAGGTACCAGAGGGGTTGGACCGATTTTACCCATCTCCGAAGTCGATCTAAGTTTGACAAAAAATTTTACGATGTACCAAGTTTGGACCAAATCGGATACTCCCTTCGAGAATTGTCGTGCGCACCAGCCAGACAGACACAGACGAACAGATGGACATCGATCGACTCCAAATGTCCTGAAACGGATTTGGTCCAAAGAGACCTACGGTCTAAAACCATTATTTCGATGAGGCACGTTTTGGCCGTATCAAATGATATATACCCTCTCTAGGCATGTGGCTGAAGGTTTGTTTGTCATCTTCTAATTGG